TCATTTTCCAATAACGTCTTTACTTGATCCTCATTATATTCCATTAAACCTAACATTTTACAGCTCTTTATGACTTATTATATTCCTACTCTCTGAAGGGTACGGTTGTACATTAAATGCACAAAAAGGTATAAAACAAAAACAACTGGCACAACTGAGGATAAATGTATTAAAACCAAAATTGGACATCATGATAGTACGAGGTATATGTGTTGCATTATACATTGCAAATGAACGTTGTCAGCCTAGGGAGTTTTCTTTTATTTAATGCATTTATTAATGATACTTGCACTTACCTATTTCATTACAATTTAATGATTCACCTCAGCACTTTTACTTTTCTAAAACAGCTTTCAATCCCTTGTTAACGTTGTACTTACCTCAATATTGGTTGGTTATCGTATGCCGACAACCACGGGATGAAAACGAAACGAGGTCGATTTTCCCGCTCAACCTGGAGGACAATTGTACAATTCAATAACTATACAGCCTAGTTCAGACAATGAATGTATTTATATATATATCAAATATTTAACTGTTGAAACATTATTAACTTGTAGACAATCTATGATTTGATATTATATCATACTTGATCGTGCCTGTAAAAATGGCATGCATTTTCATGTAAATTTATATGTTTATATGAGAATATACATTAGTATTATTATTATATTCCTGTGTTAATCCTTTCGATTTATTGCATACAGGAGGTCCAATCTCGCCTTGAATGAATCAACGGATTGTGCTGATACGACGTGTTCCGGTAGGGAGTTCCAATGGTTCACAATTCGATGCGAAAAACGGATTTCCAGACGCAGACGATTCGACCGTGGTTTTTGAACCTTGAGGTGATATACTCCCAATTGGTTGGTGCTAGAATGAAGAAATAATAATTGTGTCCACTATTCCCTGAACAGATTGTGCAGCGAAAGGGGCTATTGTGTGCTACAGGCAAAAGAGTAAATTATAACGTTTAAATGAAGTTCGATACTGCTTAAAAGCGAACCCCTCCTCAAATTGATGGACAAAACGCCGCCTCCACACAAGTGTGTCAACTGAGTTAAAGGTGAGTTCAACTAAACTTCGTCATCTTTATTAGGTTTCAGATATGGAATCATATCTCCTGAAAATCTGTCATCGCTTTTCGAAAAAAGAAAGCATTCATTGCAACACTGTCAGAAAAACATTTAGGAATGACCACGATCTAGTTATTTATCTCACCTCTGATCCAAAGCTACTAATATTTAATATATATAGGGTGGTGTTAGCTGATCAGTAGATATGGTGGGGGTCACTAAGGTGAATCGCCCCATTCTACAGGAACAGCAATATGCAAATTGGCGCTCGAGATTTTTCTGATTTTTATGAGGGCTTAGATCTTTATCTTGAAAAAGATAATAATGAACGCCTAGACAGACCATACTCCTGCCTTTAAATATATATCATTCACTCAGCCTATTGTTGAGATGCGACCATGTGGGCTCTGCACAGATTTATGAAGCATCTTATAAACTAACATGCTGTCCATTGTCGAATCTTTAAATACCACTTCACAATGTCTTATCTCATTCATTTTCTAATAACGTCTTTACTTGATCCTCATTATATTCCATTAAACCTAACATTTTACAGCTCTTTATGACTTATTATATTCCTACTCTCTGAAGGGTACGGTTGTACATTAAATGCACAAAAAGGTATAAAACAAAAACAACTGGCACAACTGAGGATAAATGTATTAAAACCAAAATTGGACATCATGATAGTACGAGGTATATGTGTTGCATTATACATTGCAAATGAACGTTGTCAGCCTAGGGAGTTTTCTTTTATTTAATGCATTTATTAGTGATACTTGCACTTACCTATTTCATTACAATTAAATGATTCACCTCAGCACTTTTACTTTTCTAAAACAGCTTTCAATCCCTTGTTAACGTTGTACTTACCTCAATATTGGTTGGTTATCGTATGCCGACAACCACGGGATGAAAACGAAACGAGGTCGATTTTCCCGCTCAACCTGGAGGACAATTGTACAATTCAATAACTATACAGCCTAGTTCAGACAATGAATGTATTTATATATATATCAAATATTTAACTGTTGAAACATTATTAACTTGTAGACAATCTATGATTTGATATTATATCATACTTGATCGTGCTTGTAAAAATGGCATGCATTTTCATATAAATTTATATGTTTATATGAGAATATGCATTATTATTAGTATATGCGACAGGTAATTCTTTACGTAGAGTGGGAATAGTCTTTAAACTTATCCTTCCACCCGATTCATCAAAATAATCGCCTTATTGCGTCGGTGGCTCAGTGGTTAGGATTCTCGCCGACCATGCACATGGTCCGGGGTTCGAGCCCACGCCGACGCACACCTGGTATCTACGGTCGGCCTGCAAAATTTGGGCTAACGATACCTACGCTGAAAATTCCATACTTGTACCAAAATACGGTGTTGAATCAAGCTGTAATCAAAAATAAATAAATAAAAATGAAAGAGATCACTCACGCCAGTGACCAATGCAGAAGAGTAGTCCATGCGAATGAAAAGGAAGCGTAGGCTTCATTTTTTCTTTGAAACTCTTCACAAAGTGATTTAAGGTCGTCAGTTTTTTTGTATATTTATTTTATTTTATTCTTGATTACAGCTTGATTCCACACCGTATTTATGGTACATGTATGGAATTTTCAGCGTGGTTATCGGTAGCCGAAAATTGCGCAGGCCGATCATAGATATCAGGTGTGCGTCATGGAGGGCTCGAACCCCGGACCATGTGCATGGTCGGCGAGTGTCCTAACCACTGTGCCACCAACGCAAGCCTTTTGCCTTGATATCTGATATTTCTACACATGCAGCAAATCAACTAAATACTGCACGATTGCGCAAATAATGAGTGACTCAAGAACAATTTTACTAAAATCACTGCCTTTGAACAAGCCGGTAGACCGACTCGTTCTATCTCTGGTTGTGTGAATTCTATAAGTGCAACAGCTGCCAACTTGAACTACGCAGTTTACCTGACAGACATCGCTGTCCAAACATCACCAGCAAAATACGTCTGAAACGCATTGAATTTTCCCCGATAATTCGGCATTTCTTGTCTAGTTACTAGGTTCATTAGAGATTTACGGAGTCTGTTTTCTCGCCACGATTCTCCCTGTGTTTTGTAGGATTATTTGTTCTTTGGGGAGCACAAAGCAACACCTTGAAGCTTCCTGAAATGAGTAGCTCGAGAAAATTCAGATGGGTTGTAGTGGTGTTCACCTAATGAGTGACAATGAACCATCTATTACCCAAATGTCTTTTGTCTTACTAAGCGGTGTGTGACTTTTCAAAAAGCACTAAAGCCCTTTCTCACATCGTAATCCTCCTTCTTTCCCGTTCATTACTACTTTTCTCGTCTAGTGCAGCGTGTTGTTCTTAGCAACGGTTCATGTCTAATCGAAATGATAGTTTCGCTGCTTGACATTTTTGTAAGTGACTATGTTGACTCTTGGTGACAACTATTTAGTTAAAAGGGCGTGAATTAAATGATAGCTTAAGCCTACAGTTACGGCATCGAAAATGTAGATTTAACAGGTGATTTCATGTGATGAGGCACAGCACGAAGTCTGTTTCATGTACCGTTGAATTTGGACGTCTTCAATACTCGCCAGATGTCCACAAACGCTCCCCTACTTCATCTATCTGGCCATATTCTTAAGGATATGAATCGACTCTCTAACTCATAGTGTTGTTACTGTGGTTATCTCTTCACTGAAGTTCGTTTTCCTAACTGTTTCTGAGTGAATTTTGTCTAAGTGAATAGTATCAATTTCATTCCTTCTAAATTCTTTTCACATGACTGATGTCTCAGTGTACCATATACTCGTACGTATTTAGCAAGACTGTTTTCGATTTCTTTTTCGTTGCCTTAGGGCGATAATACCTTCCACACATTGAACAACAAGGAGCATTCGACAAAATGTTGGTTTGACGTGAGGTTTTCTGGTAACACAATGAGAAGCACTTGAGGTTTCGTGAACGTGAACATTTCAGAGAAGCTTGTGAAGAAACAATTTATCTGACGCAATTTATCAATAGTCATCATGGAAATTGAATTCTAAAAGGTTGGTCAAAGACTACTACAGAAGGCTTATACTTTAAGAAATAGTCAGTAGTTAACAAGATAATTGGTACTACTCAATATTTCTTCATAGTGACATTTCAAAGTTGTGAAGATTAGTGTAGAGGCTTAACGTATACTGAGATATGAGCAAAAGATTGAGGGGGGTGATATTATAATAAGAGCGGACTTAGCCGAGGTTTTAATTACAGAGCATGTAGCAGCGAATAAAGAAGACGATCGCAAGCAACATACGTTAACGACCTGAAAAGAAGGCCAACTCTTTACAGAATACTGAAGAGCACATTTCCAGTAGTGAAAATAAGCTTCCACCTCATCTTGTATTCTGTAAAAGAGGTAGGACTGGCATCTACCGGGTTCTCGCTCATTTCTCATCAAGATGAAACGGTGTGATAACTTAAATTTGCTCAAATATCGCCCGTCTATTAGTCAAGCTTTTACATCGGCAATACTGTAACTGAAAGATAAATTTACAGCAACTACTCCACACTCATCTCATGTTACTCACTGCCCTTTATATTTTGTCACATGTATTTCTGCACTTTGTTCTTGGCTTTCTCTCTTTTCATCCATTCCCTCCCCCCTAATTACAAGACTTCCATTCTCTCTGGAGCATTCGCTGACAAAGTGAGAACTTCTAGTCAGCACCCCTTCAGAAAATCTCCCTTCTCGATAACAGTAATAGAACAGAAATTCAACCGCTAGATGGGTTGAACAAAGCCAGCCGGGTGAGTGTATCAGTATGACTCACAACAGTTTACGTAGATAACAGATTTTTCTGAAAATTGAAACTCGAAACAGATATCTAGGCTTAATGTAAATCAGCAAGATGACTAGTCCTAATCCAATTTCAACCAGTGACACCTAAAAAATATCATTATAACGGTGAAGGTAATTTCTCACAAAGTTATCTTGTATTAGTTTCAAACTGTGATGACTTGAGCATTTAACACGACGTGAACAAGGCCGCCAACTATATAGTTTTACCGGCCATTAGCATGGGTGTCACCGTCGACTCTTACAAGGCCGGTGATGGTAAGACATTCCCTAAGAAGGGCCAGACGGTTATTGTACATTACACTGGTACCCTAACTGATGGCAAGAAATTTGACAGCTCTCGTGACAGAAAAGATCCTTTTAAATTTGTCATCGGTAAAGGACAGGTAAGAGACCAATGTCATTATTATCTATGTATCCTAGGTTATTAAAGGATGGGATGAAGGTGTTAGTCAGATGAGCGTGGGCGAACGAGCTTACCTTACGTGTTCACCAGATTATGCTTATGGAGCCAAAGGTATCCCAGGTGTAATACCCCCAAATGCAACTCTGAAATTTGACGTGGAATTGATTAACATTGTCTAATGATTTCGAATCATTTCTTTTTACTTGTTCACACTAATTGTCAATAAAATATCCTCAGCACTCACAGTTTTTCCGGATTTGGTCTCTGGCAGGAAAATTTAGTGATTTCGTAACCTGGCTATTGTGGATCCCCAATGTTTACGATAATATAGTCTAACTCCGTTACCAGTCTCTTTCTCACTTCGTGACAATTTATCCGTTGAATGTCATGTCGGGTTGTCAAGTCAATATGTTAGTTTCCACCGCACATCTCCGAGGATCAAGCACTTACCAGAACTTGGCTCAGATTGAAGTCGTAACCTCAGATTATATCCTGTTAATGACCTCAGAAGTACCCATCTCAGCGCTCACTATGTAAAGGGAAACTACTATTGAATCATGTTTGGTCTCAAACAACCCCTATCACTGATGTATCGATAATTTGTAGAAGTGATATGCTCAGCAATTATGTAATCGGACAGGAGTTTTAGGTTTGCTCACGTGCTACAGGGGCCATAAATTACTGAGGTGGTTGGTTCAGTTTGCTTGGTCTTCTTGGTTATCCTAGTAATCAGTAGGGGAGGCAAAGTTTTGTCGGTAACACAAACTACCTATATTAAGTTGATATCTCCAACAGTCATACTTCCCCATAATATACTTTTTCAGTGGGTGAGTATATGGATGATTAAGTCACAGAATGGACAGTTCCAAGTGGAAATCTATTCCTTAAGATAACGATTATAAGTTGTTTGGCTCAGTTCTTTCAGGGAGTCGAGTAGTTAACATTTCCACTGTTTCGTCGAGCTAATGGGTATAATGGGCTCAGCTGAGACGATAGTCTTCAACTTCACCGCAGCACCCATTAACTGTTCTTGAAAATATCTTGTTGACACTAATTATCATTGATGCTTTTCCGAGGGCTGTAGTGGTTAAAATGGTGTGTCTAAAGCAGTTTGGTTTTTGCGGACGGTATAGGCGTTCGATTTACGTCCCATCTACTGTCTTTTTCAACATGGAACTTTGCACCGATGTGCCTCATTTCAAGTCTCTACACTCCATGTAGCACATTAAACAAGATACGAAATGCAAAGTAGAGACAGGGATATGAGAAAAAAGGAATAGTAATAACGAAGAACAACATAGTTTTATTGGAAATTATAAGTCACCAAGAGTGGATGCATCTACGCCATTGAGAACGATTTTGAACCATATCACCGATTGTCTTGGCCCATCTACAGAAGCCCGGGTGGTTAGATTTTGCCGTCGCTTAAATTATTACATGGGATATCTGTTCTGGGCCTATGAGTTCTAACTAGATCCATTCTTTCCATATCGGCTCTGCAAGCGAACGACGATACACAGTTTCAGTGTCACTTCTGGTCTGATTCTCAGCCGTAATATTGTACAACATTTGATAGCGCTTAGATACGGTAGGTTACTGGTGGTGTTACCTACCTAGCGTTTATACAACTGTAACAGTTTCAGAAGTGTTGTGTTATTCACAGTGTTTACACTCACACTTGGCTCCTATGTTAATATGTTCAGTTCCTTTTCTGAATTCAGGCGATATATGAAAAAGTGGTTGTGTGATATTTTTACTCCCAGTGCAGTGTATTCGCAGTTATTTTCAGCAGTGGATCACCGTTAGACCTAAGTGTTGGTGTAAAGCCTATCCCATATACCTTGAAGTAGCTCGTGTTTAAAGCCGAGTCTTACTAAGTAATTAAGATAGTGTATCAGTTCAAGTTGCTACACTTCAAAGCATAATATAGGAGGGAATATTATTGTATACTGAACAAGCAGCGATTTCGAAAAATAATTGCATATAGATTAGTAAAGGCACGCAGAATTTAGGTGAATACTTTGCAATATGGCAAACAATTTCAAGTCTACTTGTCGGATGTTGATGTTTAGTATCTGAAGGAACCCACTTATGCAGAAGACCTAAGAGACTTGTCGGCTTTTGGTCAGATCACTTTGGCTTTTATTAAGCCTCAGTTTCCTTCTGCTTACGATGCTGCTTGAGGTCAACGGTACTTGGACATTTGTAAAATGTTTTCAGTGGGGAGTGGTCTTGCCTTCATCGCTTTACGCTATACTTCTGATTTCTTAGGATATGGTATGCATTAATTATTCAATGCTACGAAGACAACCTAGGTCATTAACGGCAGAAATTTAGATATTTAGACTTTAATTCATCTCATCCATTAACTGTTAAGGTAGGCTTAGTTAAGCGTCTAGAAAACCGAGCAGAAGCACAGGAAAAGACCTAAATGATGAAATAAAACAGATAGAAGAGGCGTTGGTGTTAAATAACTATCCCTTAAAATTCATTAGGAAGATGGAAAAAGGCCAAAGGAAAAATAAAAATAATTGTGAAACTAGTAATAATAACATAAATAAGAGAGAGTATAAGTCATCCACAGTTGTACCACATAAGCAGGGGACATCTGAAGCCCTAAGTAGGATTCTTAACAAAGCAGGAATTAGGGTGGCATTCAAACCTACAAACTCACTCAGGGACAAGCTCTGTATGTTAAAGGACCCAATTAGACAAAATAATATAATTTACAAAATACACTGCAATGACTGTGAGCGGGGTCGACTACACAGGTCAAACTAGTAGATCGAGTGTAGTCAGAATGTCGGAACATGAGGATTTAGCTGAGGTAAGAATGGTTGACCCTGAAAAGATAAGTAATTTAGAAAAAAGCTCAGCGATTGCACTTCACGCATTAAAAAACAACCACACAATAGGGTGGGATAGGGGTAAAATTCTTAAAACTAATCTAGGTGGGTGGAGAGAGAGGTTGATTACGGAATCCTTGTTCATCGAGTCTACACCCAACACATGCAATAGAAATGACTCAATGCAATTACATAGATCAGCGAATTCATTTTCTTAACTGTACAATCGCAAATATGTATGTGTTATTTTGTATGTATATGTACATTAAGTTTTTCAAACAAAAATACAATTGGTTATGGTTATTTTAACTAAACAGGTGAAGATTGGTAATACAAGTCAAGAAAATTAGGTGTTAATGAAATTAGGGTAGTAACAGGTGATGAGTTGTCACAAACAGTTGTTAAAAGAAGTTAAGTAATAATATGAATGGTTTGATGAGTGAGTTTTACTCGGGGTGCACACAGAAACAAGGTAGATAATACGAAATTACGTAAGAGTTCTGAATGAATACAAGAATTCTAAGCAATTAAAGAACAGGCGAAGAAACAAAATTAAGTCATCAAAATAAAAAACACTCAAATCAAAACAAAAAAAGTTGTTACCATGACAGTATAAGTGGTCAAGTAATCTTCTTTTGTATGCACAGCTCCGGTTTTTCTATGTGAATGGCCAGAGCTTCAGTGATACAAAGAAGACGAAACTGTATTGCCTTTGATAGGTTACTCTTGACTCTGTAGATTACTTTGAAGGAGGCGTTTGTTGAAATGGAATCATCAGTGTTAACCAGGTGTTCAATTATCGCACTCCTTATTGCACCAGTATTGCCTTTTCGCAACCATGCTGGATAGTGTTCTTGAATCCTCTTGGACAAGGTGCGCGTCGAACGACCGATGTATCTAACTTCACAGCAGCAGGTGAACTGATATATGCACATAGAAGTGGTCATGTGCGGAATTTTGTCCTTGAGGCTTCTGCAGATCAATGGGCGACTGAAGAAGACCATTCTTAGCGTTGCTGCAAAGAATGTTCTTCGCAGAGATGATATGATCCCTCTCTTGAGAATATCGCTTGCTAAATCTCCCTTGAAATTCAAGTTCATGTAGAGTTTCTTTTTAGGCGCAATTAAATTTTCGTTTCTCAGAATTATTAGTTTGATATTTTTGTCGATGAATCTTATTGGATATCCATTTTGGATGAAGGTTTCTCTTAGAATACCTAATTCTGTTCCCAGAACGTCGGGACTACGTTGTGACAACTCATCACCTTTGTTACTACCCTAATTTCACTGACACCTAATTTTCTTGACTTGTATTACCAATCTTCACCTGTTTAGTTGAAATAACCATAACCAATTGTAATTTTTTATTATAAGTTATTTAAATTAATCCCAGCGTGTTAAGAAAATCAAAACAAGATTTTTCTGAACGTTTCGCCGTGTAAACCACAGCTTCTTCAGCAAATTTATTCGGATTATAATTAATCATCAAAATATATAGTCAAAAATTTTTACATAAAATGAAGTCAGTTTATTTGAAGGTCATTTTTCCATGGACATTTCTTACCAATAGAAGTATGTAAGCAGTCCTCACATATATTTGTAATGACTAATATCAAATTGTTGTTGTGCTCACTCTTCTGTAGTTGATTTGTAAAGATTAGATTTGTATGCGTGTGTGTGTGTATGTATTTTATTTGTCATATGGAAAATACGTGAATTCATATGTGATAAACATGATACTACGTGTTTTAAAAGGTCATGGAGGCTCACAGAGTGTTAGTTGTTTTTTCATTTGTTTTGCTTCATAAAAGTTTGCCATATAGGTGATAAGTCTATCCCTTCTTTCCTATTCACTGCATTTGATGTGGTTAACATGTGCAAGGCTTCAGAAGTCAATCTTTCTTTGTGCGAATAAAATCCACTTCCAAGAATTTCGACATTGTTGAAATCAATCTTATGTCCGCTGTCTATCGCATGCATTGCTATAGCCGATCTTTTTTCTAGACCTTTTAATTCTACTTCATTTCTAGGTGGACGTTTCGTGCAAAGTCTTTGTTCATTCACTCTGACCTTCACCTGCCTACTGCTTTCCTCTATATAGCATGCATCACATTCTGAACACTTTATCTTGTAGATACAATTACTTTGTGAAATTTTGGGAACTATATCCTTGACATGCACCAGCGCTTTCTCTAGAGAATTAGAAGGTTTGACATAGACTTTAATATTATAAGAAGCAAATAGTCTTTGAATTTGTTCAGCTGTGTCTTTTCGATATGGAATGGCTATCGTCGATAGCCAAGATTTTTCAACTTTTTGTTTTCCTTTATGCTCCTTTCTATTTATGATATTATCTAGTAGCTTTTCAAGATAACTATTTCCAATCAAAATCTGTTTTATATTGGTTATCTCGTTCTTCATATCGTCATTATCTGTTATAATGTTTCTAGCTCTGTTAATGAGATTTAAAGCTACTGAAACTTTCATTCCTATTGAATG